TGGCCGTGCTAGTATGCGCACACCTCGACTATTCTATTGTGTACATACTACCTCCCACTAGCACCGATAGTTACTCAGCCCGTCAAAGTTTAGGCAGATCATGAGAAGGAATCACATAGTTTATTTGTTTCTTCTAGAACTTGAACCCGGGTCTCCAAGGTTCTCTACTAACTTAAACTTCTAGATGAAATGTTCATACATTTCAATTATTTAATATGAAATCACGCCCAATCTTTGGCGAACCTATTTTCACACAATCAGCATTAAGGTCTATGTGTGAACCCCCAACACCGGCTTGCACGTACAAGAGGGTAGATAGTATCTCACATTGGATATATAACGGCAGAGAAAATGGTCCATAAATGTGCTGGGACACTCACCTCTTACCTTAAGTTTCGGATGATTGGTCAAATAATTAAATACTGTATCAGAGGAGGCAGAGGTCCTAGATTTGAGTCTTGCTGAGAGCCGTCATCAAATATATCTCTATGTGCTTGGAACAAGAGTTAGGTCCACATGTGAGAAGGTGTGTTTGCAAACAAATAAATGAAAGTGTCCCCTTTTTTGTAATCATTGCATTTCTTGGTGCCAGTAATATAACTTCTTGCTTCTTAAAAAAAAAAAACCTTCTCTAATAGCTTAAACTTTTAAAGAGAGGGTCACACAATTCAATAATTTAACAGTTTGGAACAAGTTTGAGATTACTTGATTTATCCAAAAAGGAAAAAATAATATCAGAAGATGCATAGTTGATTGTCACAAAGCCAGTCACTAACAACTGCTTGTTGGCTACTACTTATGTGTATTGGCGCAATACCATGTGTTCAAGAGTTGTTTCTGTCATGATTAGGAGTGGCAAATGGATAATATGGTTCTTATCCATATTTGACCCGTTTTTAAAAAGTTCATTATTTAACCCATTTTTAGTGGATAATATGTGTGCTTAACTGTTTTCTTTTAACCATTGTGCCACCCCTAGTCATGATGATGGGCTTAGAGTTTGCTATACACCTGTAATAATGTCAGTGGTAAAAGAGAGCCTGAGCTATGAATTGTTAATTACTGAATAGGCAAGTCGGAATGTTTCTTTAAATTATTGAACCAAGCACTAGAAGCTTATTAAAAAAATATAGGAGTTTGCGTTGTTAACTTTGGGGCAAATTTTACTTGTTCTATTTTGTGGTGAAGTTGACAGAACTCTGAAGACTCAGGTCATCATTTGGTTTTATGTATTAAAATTATATAATTCCTGCTCTGTGAATAAAAGAGTTATGACTGCTAAGTTCCATTACATTGGTACCATTCTTGCAGTCTAGAACTTTGGGGTTACAAACGTGTTGAGGAGATCATTTGGGTTAAGACCAATCAACTTCAGCGAATCATCAGAACTGGTCGGACAGGCCATTGGCTCAATCACAGTAAGGAACACTGCCTTGTTGGAATAAAGGGAAATCCAGAGGTAAATAGGAATATTGATACTGATGTCATTGTAGCAGAGGTTCGGGAAACGAGTCGTAAGCCAGATGAGGTGAGAAAAATTTAGATTCTTCTGTTCTTTTCGTAAAAGGAAAAAAGAGCTAGAAACTGAAAGCTTCAAAGCGTAGACACGTTTATTGATGTTCATGGAATAGCCTAATTTTATAAAATGTCTGTACTGTTAGGGCTCGTTTGGTACGTGGGATCTTGGGATTAAATTTGAGATGAGTTTATCCCACGTTTGGTTGGGATAAAATAGCTGTATAACTAATCCCGGGATTAGTTATCCGGGGATTGTAGTGTTATTTTATTCCTACGGGAGGGTGGGTTGACAATCCCAGGATAACTAATTCCGGGATAATTAATCCTACTTAACTTGTTTCCCAACCAAACGACCCTTAGTGTTACATTAAGTTTAGTGGTTGTGATTCTATGTTACTCCCTCCGTCCCGATTTGTTTGATATAGTTTGGATTTCAAGAGTCGAACCCAATTTGTTTGACACAGTTCTGATTTCAAGAGTCAAGCCCAATTTGTTTGATACAGTCCGGATTTCAAGAGTCAAACGAGCTTTTTCTCTGACCACGATTTTTGCATATGCCTTTTGAATATTTTGAATTGTTAACTATTGTGACTTATAGTACTTTTTATGTAGTTTCCAAATATGTAATTTTTATTTCAAAAAACTTTAATATTCTATGTTCGAATTCATGGTCAAAATTAAGAAGTTTGACTCTTGAAATCCGTATAACAAATTGGGACGAAGGGAGTATTTTAGCATCTATTCTTATTTTTTCTTGATACTTTGACTGTTGTTGGGTTATACATAAACAATGCTTTTGCTTTGACATGTTAGATGTATCCCTTGCTCGAAAGAATTAGTCCAAGGACAAGAAAGTTGGAGTTATTTGCTCGGATGCACAATGTTCATGCTGGGTATGCATTCTTGATCTACTTGCTGATCTTCAACTGAAAGTCAGAGACTATTAAACATGGTTTTTAGAATGTTGCACCCGCACAATCACATATGGAGGGAACTGTTTTGGGCTTCTAACTTCTACTAATAATTTATGTTCTTGATTTAAAGTACTTCCTTATCACATCTTAGAACATAAGAATGTGATCCTACCATATGTGATGTAAAAAATAAGTCCTTTTTGCTTGAAATATTAGGTTTGTGGGTCAGTGCTAGTACAGTAGAAGAAAGCCTTTTTTTTCTATTTTAATTTTAAAAATAAAAGCTTGATAATATCCACATATTTAGTGGAATACTAATTAATTCTCTTCTCTTGTATGTTCTTCCCAAAAAAGAGAAAAACAGTAAGATTCTCAAGATTTTTTTTTTAGTGAAGAGAGTAATTAGTAAACATTATCAGACACCATTCGCAGAGAAATGATTTAATGTCATCATATTTTTCCATTGCACTTAGTTAAGATAAATTCTCAATATAACAATCCATAAATGTATCAGGTGGATGGCACTTGGAAACCAACTACAAGGGGTACGATTAGTTGATGAAGGGCTTAGGGCGCGGTTCAAGGCTGCTTATCCTGATGTGGAGGTGCAACCTGCATCACCTCCAAGGGCGTCCGCAATGGAAGTAGATTCAAGTTCTAATCAGATGAAGAATGCATTTGCTGGAGGGGAACTAAAGACTGCAGGGACCCAGTTCGCTGAGGCCACAGCTCCAGATGCAGCCTGTGCAACTGAAGGAAAAGCAGTAAAAAGCGATGTGGAGATGGCAAGCTAATAACTTTGTTTCAAGAACTAGTTATTTTCCTGTAACACTTGGTTCGTCCACGTAGTTTGCGCTGCCTATTTCTACCTGTCTCCGACAAGTTTTTTGCAGATGGGTGTGGAGTATTACTTCCATTAAGATTATCGGGTGGCAGGACGAGTCACAATGTGCCTGCAATTAGCCATAAAAAAAGAGCCTAACAGCAGTCTTAAGAATAGTTGGTTGATAGAATGTAATACTCTCCCTTGTTTGTTGTTTGCTGAAGATTAGGTATTGTGTCATATACATGCAACTTGTTAGGACATATATCCCTTTTGCAGACTTCGTCCGCTTAGTGAGTGGCTGCCCTGAGTGTTGGGTGTAAGTGTAATCTACGTCTAAGCTCAAGAATGATCAGACACCTACTCTTTTTCTGGCTATTGCAGTTTACCACTTTTCTGTATGGTTTTCCATTGCAAGCACTCAACTGAACCCCTCCTAGTGTTTACACCCAGATTACTTAGATTTAACTGGGTCAGTATTAAATTATATAAGCAGTTATTTTTATGAGTAAAGTTCAGTTGTAAAAAATTTGGGATGTGATTTTGGGTGTATAATTTGACACTCATCATTTTATTTTTCTTTTGTTTTCCTCGAATCTTACTCCCTTTGGTCCACTTTATTGATTTATTGGCTTTTTTCTGTGGTCAACAAATATTTTGTATTTTCATATATTAAGAAGGAATTGACTTTTTTTTTTAAAGTTGTCCTTTGAGTAAAGAGCCTAGGAGTATTTGTTATGCTTTCAGTGAACAATTAAGGTTAATATAGTCAATTTTATTGTTAATTAATGTTAAAGGTGGATTTCTTATTATGTGTGAAAATAATTAAAATATCAATTAAAGTACTAAAATATTAAAGTAGACCGGAGAGGGTACTAATTTTGAAGTGCTTTTTTTAATTTAGTGTTTTCTTTAAATCTTGTTTAGCTAAACTAAGTCATGAAATAACACACGTAATATTTTTGTTCATATTATAACACACTGCAAATGACATTTCGTCAATTTATATATCCAAGTTTAAATCCTACATCACTTATCTTGTGGGTTTAATAAAGATTTTAATTCAACGACCCCTTGGTGCCTTTTCACGAGAAAGGTGCAAAGTGTTGTCGGCGAATTGCTGGCTACAGCTAGCATGCATATGCCAAAATAATATTATAATTATAATATTGGGCACTAATGTTTTGTCTTTTTGAGTTGGTACTATTAAACTTGTGAAATGCTTTTACTCGGAAAATATTCAAAAGAGGCAAGTCTTGAAATCCTCAAACTCCAGTGCTATGATGGTTATTGGATTGTCTCGTGGGGTTTCTGCTGAGCTATAGCCTCGCACCTCCATCCAACTATTTATCTCTCATATAAATATATTTTATTCTATTTTAGTTTTTCTTAGGGGTATCGCGAAGATATAGGAAAACAAATTAAAGTGAGATATTTCGCACATAATGAGAGCTTAGTGCATTGAACTGTCCTAGTCATGAGATTTTGCTCAATTTTAAATTTGTATTTCCTATTGTTCTCCTTTATTTTTTTCTTTTCCTTCGAACCTTACAGTCCAGAATTAACTTTTACTTTTTTTAGATGGCCTTGACAGTTTACTGTTATTCATAGCTTCTATATTTTCTTTCCCCTTTTCCTTTTCCATATATACCGGGGTATAGATTTAAAAATTATGACAACCAACACAAAAAAAAAAAAAGAAAAAGAAAAAAGAATTCATTGAAAAAGCAGGAGGGAGAGATGGATGACACAAAAATATTGACTATAGTAGAAGAAACTCAATAATTTTGCTCAAGGGAAAACGGTAAGCTCCCCCCAATAAACTCATCATCACGAATGAACTCTTCACAAATTTAACAACAGACAGACAAAATATAATGGCTCAATACAACAAAAAATATGAATGAAATCTCAAAATGTACTGTTCCAAATGTAGTATTACTTCTCTAAAAAATGGTGCTTCCTAGAAGCAGTGTGAGAAACACTGATCCAATGGCACCAAAAATAGAAATATGCAATTTCCCAGAAGATGATTGATTAGCAGATTGGACAGGAATTGAGCCAAAAACAGTAGGGTAAGCAGGTGAATCTGCAGATGGAGCAAAAGCAGGTGAATCTTCTTCATAAGTTGTTCCATTTCCTCCTGGTATTGAAATATGAAGTTTCTGTGACTTTTCACAGTGTCCTTCTGCTCCACTTGTGAAGTAAAATTCCCCAGGTCTTGTAATGTTGAACAGAGAGTTGCCATTGTTCATGTACAAGATTGGATTTTTAAGGTTGCAACTGTTGTAGTTCTGTTTTGTCACCTGTATTACTGAATCTTCACTTGGTGGGTACAAAAACACTGCAAAAAAAAAAAAGAAAAGATTAATTCAAGAGCCAGATTGATGGGGTTGAATATTTTATTAAAGGGTATGTAAGAATGGGAAAATCTTGAAGATCTAAGCAAGAAATGGGAGGCTTACTGATTGAATCTCCAATTTTGAAGACATGATTCTTGGACCATTTGGTATAGACATCTTTATTTGCAGAAGAGGGTACATTCCAAGCACTTAAATCTCCAACTTTGTACTGATAACACAACACTTTGGTTTGTATTAATAGAAAGAACTGAAAAATAATGTACAAAGAATGGTACTTTCTTGGAATACTAAGAGTAGCCATGACTTGCGCAACTTTGTCTCTCTTCACTCTTTGTTTCCCTTTGGACAAAATTGAGTGTAAATACACAAAATTAGAAGAGAGAAATTAGCACCTATATCACTGAACCAGACATGTGCAGAGTTACTAAAATGCCCTTTGTCTTTTCCCTAATAGCAAAATTAGCTAGAAAAAAGCTGCTTGCCGTCAAGGGTAAAAGAGGGATCACAAGCAAAAGAACAAAGTGTGGAGTTGGGTAGGGTCAATTATTTGAATAACAATAGCACATGGACAGTTGGACAAAGAAACACCGGATGCAGCTTAACATGGGAATGGAAAGGACTAGAGCAGGAAATGGTTTTACATATAATTTTAGTTTATACAACAGTTACCATGTGCCTTGTGCCATTACCATTATTTATTTCAGTTTATTAATTTTTTCAATTTTTGTAAATTTTCTATTTACAATAACTACGTTTCAATCCCACGTAAGTTAATGTCAATAGTATTAGTATTATTCATGTCGCTCCATTTAAGTAAATCAGTCAACACAAGAACCAAAAGAAAAAGAACACACGCTGAGATTCCATTTTACACAAACCTTGTGAAACCCTTCATTTTTGGGATCCCAAATGGCCAATTCTAATTGTTTAATGAAGTGGTAAGTTATAACTAGTTAAACAGTGATGAAAGTCAACCTATATCTGATGTAGATTTGCACATTATCTACAAATATACAGCATACAAGTACGAATTTTTTGCTGCACTATTGGTTTGTTCATTTGCAAAGTTTTGGTCAACCAATTAGGCCCTTCTTTTTTGGCACCTTAGAATGTTACTCCTTACTCTTTTCCTAGAAAAACTCAACCTTTCTCTACTTCATTACTCGTTTTAATTTCAAGTTAAGCGTCAATCTGGCTTAAAATTATTGCCAAGAAAGTTATGTAAAAATGAGTATTATTCAGAGTAAATATAACAGCACGCAGCGTCTTATACATATCATAGACATATTTATAAATGAATTAAAGAAAAACCAAAAATGGCAAATATGCTTTTACATTATCAGAAAAAACAAGCAATGCAGTGTAGCAATGCTGCATCAGCTATCATATATTGATAGAAGGATACCCCTATTCTCATAGTTGCAAAATCTCCTTGTTGCATGAGCTCAAGAAGGTAGCTTCTCCATATCCTTCTGACCAATAAAAACCACAGGTTTAGTAGTTCATAAGCAGCATTCGATTTACCCACTGATTTTTTGCATAGAAAACTGATAGTTGTTCTGCATAACCTCGCTGAATTAATGAGTCCAGCGACTTGCATCAACTTAGGCATTCAGGGGCGCGGTTTCCATTTCTCTCTCCTTGTGTGTTGCCCAATCTTGAGTTTCTGCAAATGCATCAACCAAAGAAAAATCTTATATCTGTGTCAACTTTCGGATAGTTAACCCTTCAACAAACCCCGGGACACAGATCTGACCTACTAAAATGAGTATTATCGTTTTTGATGAAGAAAAGAAACAACAACAACAACATACCCAGTATATTCCCACATGTGGGGTCTGGGGAGAGTAGTCTGTACGCAAACCTTACCCCTACCCCGTGAAGGCAAGAAACATTGGTCCCAAAATCTATATTAGTATTACAGAGTTGACTATTGTTCACATAATCTCATATCTCCAATGCTGAGTCATTCGTTGCGCTAACTTTCTATCAAACTCGCAGTAAGGACTAAAAAGACAATTGGAAGCTATTCTTACTTGACTTTTCAGCAACAACAGAGAGGCGTTTCTGCAAGACTGATGCCACAAAGAGGAAAATTGAGCACATGCCAAACATAACAGTTATTGGAAATGCGTCAACCTGAACAAAAGAAAAATGGATCAGTAATCATATAAAGGGCAATCTTTGTATGAGGATATACATCACACATAGTGCGTGCCTTTGTTACTTAGCACTGCCTGCCACAACACAGGGTTATAAGCTAGTATCTTTTTTTCTTAGAGCCTATGTTGTGCGGACTCTCCAAAATACTGCCGCACCCGTGTCGGATTCTCTAAAAATACACTGCTTTTGGAGAAACCGACACGCACCTGGCAACATTTTCGGAGAGTCCAAGCAACATAGCTTAGAGCTACTCTGCCTAAAATTACATAATATATAGAAGTACAATGATAAGTAAATGATACAATATTACTTAGGTTGATGTAATAGTTAGATAGGAAAAGGAAACTCACGTTGTACAACACAACGCAAACGAAGATATTAAGAGGAATGCGGAAAAAGTTCATGATTGTGCTCCTAGCCTCCTCAGGAATGTACTGGGACCTCATTTTCATTATAGAAGGCCAAAATATTCCAACACAAGCCTCAAATGCACAAAAACCAAGAAGCTGAATGCATCCAGAAAAAGAAATGCCTCCACCTTTTTCATTAGCAGGTGTCACCAATAACTGTTTAAAGTGAAAAAGAAGTAGTGGAGTTAGTGAGAAAAAAAAAGAATTATGACACCTGCAGTTATGTTTAATAAAAGCAACCCCTAGGATTCTTTCTTACACTTGTGAAGACAGGGATACAGAGACAGACAGCAGATACTGCAAAAACAATCTGCATATAGCTCTCAACTTTGAGAGATGAGCGAGCCAGTAATCGAGATGCAAGGGAGCTGCCCAACATTGAAGACAACATGAAAGTTGCAAAGATGAAGCCATGAGGAATCTCCTCTGAATTAGGGCTCAGAGCAGGAGTCCACAGGAATACGAAAGTATACATCGAACCTTCGAATAGTGACTGTATAGCACCCAACAGTGCAATTTTCTCATCTGATTACGTAAGAGAAGAACTGTTAGAGAAGCTTCACAAATAAAGTACAACGCAAAAAAGCTTTTCCAACTGTACTATCTTTGTTAGAAAACCGTCGAATAACACAAGTAGAATAAGATTGTAACCTACTGCAGATGCGTCAGATAATTTGAAAAAGTTGCATTGAATTGAAATTTGGAGCACTAAAAACAAGTCAAGGAAGAATCAAAAAGTCTCTCCATTGCATTATAATCAGTTCTTTCTTTTACTAACACATCCTATGATATACTTGTCCGCAGAGATGAAATAAGGTCAGAAGAAGGGAGCAAAGCTAAAATTTGAAAATTACCAGAAGCAATTGCCACAGCAGCACCCTTGAATTGGGTAAGTAAGTCTTTGCTTTCTGAAGGGTCACCAAAATTCTCAGTCCAAGATGACAGTATAATGATCATACCAATAGCAAGGAAGCATGAAGCAGCATCAAAAGGAGAAACAGGACCCAGATTTAGTGTGTCCACAAGAACATTTCCAAATAGCCCCGACAAAATAGCCACAAGACCATTGCCAAGAAATATTGCTTTTGAGAATGTTAATGATAGCCATTGTTGATCAAAACCCCTCTGCAAGATAAGATACAAAATCAAATTCATTGAAAGAGGAATACATCAGAGAACATGATGGTACATGATACTACCATCAGATATGAGTGAACTAAGGATACACATTCTTAGTTGTAGATGGCTTTTTGATGTATAATGTATACTTAAGTAAGAATAGTTTGCTGCTTTATTACAGAAGAATGAAACTAAAAATTCTTACAAATAATAACTTTCTAACCCCAAAAAATTAATAATAATTGATAGTGGAATGTGTCCAATCGTTGGCAGGGATCTTAAAAGAACACCAAGGCAAGTCATCATAAAAGAATTTAAGCACCTTATTATGCTCTGCGACAAGCCAAGACTCAAAGGCTGAGAAAAGGAGAGAGGTGGCAATTCCTCCTAATATACGGCCCAACATCAAAATTTTGTACTGAGGAGAATGTTTGGTGATACAGCTCAAAATGTAAGTGATGCAGTACGTGACACAGGCCCGCTTTCGGCCCCTAGAAAAAATTTGAGTGTGATTGTAACGCTCAAAATTAAAAAGAAAAGCATTCAATTAAGAAAATATAGCGGGCATACTGTTTGTCTGCCAAGGATCCAACAATTGTTCCAAACAGCATGGAAGATCCAAAGCCAGCAATAAAGAGATGGCCAATCTCACCCTTCCCATATCCATATGTTGTGTAAAGGTAGTAGACATACGGACCCTGCAGCCAATCACCAGCTATTGCCAGAAAAAGGATCTCAGTAACTTAAGGGGCTAGAATTGCAGTCTCTGCATGATCAACAGTATACATGTATAGACAGAGGTATGATATAAAGATAAGCAAACACATGCATACCCACACAACTAACAATCATGATGCCATTATGGAAAAAGAGGAGAAACTCGTTATTCACCGAGTTTATATGTCCACGTGGTAAGCTTGTATCAATAAGATGAGAAACCAAGCAATTAATATATTGATAATTTCTTTCTTTTTGCAAAATTAAAGCTTTTATATGACCTTCATTATGCTCAAGAGAAAGTTCATTTATTCATTCCCTTTCTTCTTAGAGAGACTGGCTCTCCAATTGAAGATCATATGTGCTTTGAAACACTAATCTCATCTTGTGTGCCAAATTCAGCACAAGCTAAATAGCTAATAGATTTAAAGGTTGTAAAGTGGATTCGTTTAAAGTGGATGCTTCAGTGTTCCGCAAACAATCTCTCTTGTGTTAGTGCAGTTTTATAAATCCTAATCTTTAAAGCATGTTTGCTATGGAGTATGAATTAAGAATCAAAATTACCCTTTGGCCCATAGAAAATTTATCAGCACACTTTTTTACAAACTTGCAAACATAATTTCATTCTCTTTTACCTAACTTCAGAAAATAGTAGAAACAGCTAATACAATCTTTATAAGATATGAGACAAGCCACACTTGGAAGTCACAGTAAAGCACCTACGCCCCGTTACTGAAATATCATGGTTTATTTGACCAATATGGGAAATAGTAAAGTTAAGAACCCAAGAGTAATATTCAAAAAACTAAAAAGCAAACGACTAAAAATAAAATCTAAACGAACTCTGGTTGTTGAAGAAGCATGAAATAAGTGCATGATCTAATGGCCAAGGCTGAGGTATCATAACCTTAGAGTTATGTGTTCAACTCTCCCTGAAAGCTAAGTAGCCAAAATTTGCTTATATTT